CAAATCATAGCTAGCTTCTTTGAGTGTTGGGAAGAAAAGCAAAGTTTGCACTACTCTCACACTCATCACAACTTTGTCAACCACACCAAGTGATCTTATCTTCTGTTTGTTGGCCATACCAACAATTATACTCGAAGTTCTAGAAAGTCGCATCTCAAATTTCATCAACATTCTTTCAAACATTGCATTTATAACATAACCATCATCTACCAACACGTTTGATACATCATGTTCATCGATACTCACTTTGATCTTTGAAGCATGCGTACATACCTCCGAGGCAACAACATCCACCACACCAACTCTCATATTAGTCATATGAGTCTTTCCCTTAGATCTTTGCTTCTTTGTCCTTATGAAGCTAAGACCTTCTCACAACTCCTATATGGTTGGATTTAAAGCAAAGAGTTGACCAACTGTTATATTGGCCTTTTGATTTCCTACATCCTCCACCACGTCATGCCCAACTTCTTTTTTGATACTCTTGGTTGACTCACTCCACTTGATCGTGTACTCCGACATGACATGTCCTTCATGAACATTGACTGAGTGAATACATTGATGATGGAATACATCAATGGATGCTACTTCCTTATTCTTCGCTTGTTGTGTGGCTGGTGCATAGTTGTTGTGCCAAACTCCATCATGTTGTCGAGTGTTAGGACAAATTCGCTAAAAATGAGGACCGCCACAAGTAAAACAAGAAATTGCAAAGTTCCTTGAATGTGGATTTACTATTGGAGTATAATTTACATACCTTCCACAACTACACTACATTGATCTTGAGATCCGCTAGAGTCTCTGTGATAGATTTCAACTCATTTTGCAAATTCACACTAGGATACGGCATCGTGGATGAACTAGAAGGACTTGAATCAATGGATCTTACTACAATCGGTGGAGCTACTTCTCTAGCCATCAAGCTAGAATCATCATCTTGTAATCTTTCCTCTATTCTAATAGCAATTCGAATGACTTCAACTTTAGAAAAAGTCTTCTCATATCTCACCTTACTTTGAATCTCAGATTTCAACACTCTAACGAAGTTCTTCATGAGCCCGTATCTCCACCATTGTAGTATCCACTTTGTTTCTAGACTTCCTCAACAACAAGTGGAATCTATACTCCAACTTCTTAATTCTCTCCACATAAATCCTCACCTTCTCGTTCTCTACTTGTTTCAAGAAGTTGAACTCTAACATCAGCTTTTCATAACTTTCAATGGAAAGAAAATTTTTGATCAAGTTCTCTGTCAACGTCTCCCAAGTGTCATATTTCAAATGTTTCCTCTTGTACTCTTTGTACCACTTGAGAGTATAATACTCCAAAAAATCCGACAAAAACCTAGCTCACTCGTACTTCTTCCTCTCATTGTTTCATATGCAAGCCCTCTTGAAGTTTCTAACAAAAGCTTATATATCTTTATTCTCCCTCCCATAAAACATCAAAAGTTTTTCCATTTACAACTAAATTTTTATTTTTATTATTATTGGAATTTTATATGATACTTTCTAATATAACACTAATAACACTAACTCCATCCTTGAATAATTCATCAAAAGAAACACAATGGAAATTGGCTCATCCAATATAGCCATAGTTATCTCCTCCCCTAAACACACATTAAATCTTAGTCTCATCATCATCTTTTTCATCATTCGAATGATGATCTCCATCTTTAGTTGGAGCTTGAATCAACCGAGATCAGAGAAGTCTGTGTCTTTGCACTATACTTCTCATCAAGACCTTATACAAATGATTAAAGAATCATCTTCAATTTGTTGCATTCGTGTCCCATCTGTAGTCCAATCACTCCACAATTGTCACAGTAGGTTACGCTTTGGGATTCATGTGACGATGATGGCCCCAAATGAAGTTTCAAGTTTTCCAAGTTCCTTTTGTTATTCAATCTTTTATCCTTGTTCTGCAGGGAAAAATTGACAACTTTATGTCCCTCATCTCCACATTAAAAGCAAGTCTCACGTTTGACTCTTGGGGATTAATTCACTACTCTTTCTTCAAACTCTACATTGAATTCTCTTCTATTGGAGTCTAAAGAGATTTAACATATAAGCCTTGAGTCACTTTAGATAACCTAACAATCCAACCTCCTTGTTCACTTATTTTTCCATAAGGTGGAAATCACTCAAAAGACCTCGCTTAGAAACGCTATCTACTTGGCAAAAATTGCGAATAAGTAAATCCAAATTTTTTAATTTCTAATCTTGATTTTGTACTCCCTAAACTTCAAAATAACATAACTTTGTTTTTAGACTTGATCTTAGTGAAATTTTTGCTCTCACCTAGTTTATCTTTCAATATACACGTGTAAAAAGTTTCAAAGTCTAACTTGAAATACACAAAAAGTAATGTAATCTATAGAAACTTTACCGATAGCAAACTTTTGGCACTCGTGAAAAGCCTCTCAACTTCTAATACTCATATTTTTTTGTTAACACATATTGCGAATAAGTAAATCCAAATTTTTTAATTTCTAATCTTGATTTTGTACTCCCTAAACTTCAAAATAACATAACTTTGTTTTTAGACTTGATCTTAGTGAAATTTTTGCTCTCACCTAGTTTATCTTTCAATATACACGTGTAAAAAGTTTCAAGGTCTAACTTGAAATACACAAAAAGTAATGTAATCTATAGAAACTTTACCGATAGCAAACTTTTGGCACTCGTGAAAAGCCTCTCAATTTCTAATACTCATATTTTTTTGTTAACACATAAACTAGACCTGAAATAAAAACTAAAATATTTTTTAACTTCCACTCTACAATCAATAAAAACTTTCAAAAAGAATTTTTTGGTATCTAAGATCATTTTTCTTTCAAAATGACGTGTTTACATCAACAAAACATACAAAATCACTTCTATGATAACATATAAGAGTACTGGATTGACAAAAGTAATTTCACTCTCAAACATACTCTCAGTTCTTTCATTCACCAACGTTAACTCCAAGTGACACCTCATGGACATTTTCTCTCGAACTAGAAATAGTGTAACATGTGCAATTTAAAATCTCACCAAAATTAAACTTTGTAACAATTGAATTTCAAACATAATACGAAGAGAAACATACTTTAATAAGGGAGTGGCCAGTTATTCCTCACTTTGAGCTAATCATACCTCACTCTATTATACAGTAGACCGGGATTGATCCTATGTCATGGATGCCAGTGGATTCAATTTATGCTTTATCTAACATGGTTGGCCACCTCGCAAACAAACTACGGTGGTCACTGTACCCCGCTGCTGTGAACTACTCGCAATCTATCGGCATCTCAGGCCCTCGTAGCAATTCAATTGGACTCGGCTTGTACTCCAGCTGGCCTGACTGTACTAGGGAGGGATGGAGTATGGATGTGTGAGCCAATAGAGTTGAGGAGGGAAGTAGGAAGAGGACGAAGTAGGAAGGAGAAATAAGGTGCTAACCGACTTGAATTGATGTGCAAAATTCGATTTCAGATGATATTCAGTCGAGCAGAAGTAGAGATCGCTCATCGCAGTGACGTATTCAGAAAGCTCATGATATGCGCACCGTGATAAGTTCCAAAATATGTTATATTGTTTTACTTCCGCTGGCTGCTGCAGTTGATTGATTGAATGAGTGAATCGATCGACTGGCTTCCCGATCGGAGATTCTTGCAGTTGATTGAATGAGTGAGTAAATCGATCGACAGGCTTCCTGATCGGAGTTGTGGTTCTCACTAATCCTTGGCTAACCTTTTTCTTCCAAGTAGAGGCATTGTCCTAATAAGGACCGAAGGCCTCGCTCATGTTCCTTCCTTCCTACTTTGAACTCTTTCTCCCCCGCTCCTCCACTTCGTTATCCCACACATCCATGCACAGCCTCGGTGCCGTCAAGCCAGCCCACCACATTGCCGCGAAGCACATTTAAGCCAGCAGCAGCCGCAGGCATTCGATCAAATCAGACAACAGGAGGACAAGCCAAGTCCAGTTAAGAGGAATCAAGTTGCCTGCGGTTTGCGAGCAAGCCACATCCGGGTACAATGTCCATCATAGTTTGAGGGATATATCCATGTTAGAAGAGCCATAAATTAAATCCAATGTCAGACATCCATTCGATCAAATCCGATCAAATCATACCAACAAGATGACGAGCGGAGTCCAGTTGAGAGGGATTAACGTGAGTGCGGATTGCGAACAAACCACAACGGTGTACAATGGCCACCGTAGTTTGAAGAATCTAGCCATGATAGAACAAACCACAGCGGGGTACACTGGCCACCGTAGATTGAAGAATCCAGCCATGTTAGAAGAGGTAACATGGCTAAATTGAATCCAATGTCACCTATAATCTTGGATTAATCCTGGTCTACCGTATACGAGGGTGAAATATAATTAGCCCAAATTGAGGTATAATTAACCCCTCACTTTAATAAATTATAAAATACTCTTTACATTAACCATGTAAAGAAACTTCCCAAAGCATAAAAGAACAAACATGTACATCATGAAAAAATAATATGGTGTTACCTAGTAAGAAATGAATATAAATATAATCTTGAACATTTTCTTGCGCATACCTTGGAACAAATTGCCTACAAAATCGTTTGTTTTCACAAATTGACAAAATCGTCAATATTGCTGGTCGATACTTTAACTCTACACTTCTAGATTAGATCAAGGCTACTTCCCACAAAGCTTTTTGAATTGGAACAGATCATTCATCTCATGAACCGTTAGGATCAGGCGTATTAAACAACTGTCGCCCAAACAAAATATATGAACTCTACAGAATTTGCATTTCTCGTCGTGACAAACTAAAGTCCCACATGTAGAATTCAAAATATTCAATTCCAGACTTGCGCTGTTACCAACCAAAAAAACATTTGACAAAAAACATCGATCATGAACATCGAGAATATAGAGCTCACTTGAAATACCAAAAAGATTCATGTGCACAGAAACATGAATGAGGACAAATACCCGATAAAGTTTGTTTCCGTCGAGGAAATCAAGATGCAGTGCAGAAATCAGAATCACATTACTTTATTTCAAGGTGAAAAAATGAATAAAGTGGTAGATATATACATTGGGCTAACATCCCAACATTCAGACCTTATGTCTATCTGGTATCAAGTCCTTAGACTGTGTAGAAAGATAAACTCGCCCATACGCCCACAGTTGATTCGGATTGCTAGAAGAACGCTGCAGACGACGGAATTCCAGTCAGACCTTCGGACACGTTCAGAAGAAACCGCAAAAGCAGAAACACTAATGAATCCACACTACGCGATCCACCGATATTTGAAGACTATAATAGCCAAGTTAGTGCTTAACCTTACACAGCAAACCACATAAACCAAGACAACAATTCCTGAAGTCCTGACATCCATAAGTGCTCGGGTGACATTCGGAACTTGCAAAGTAGAGAGAAGTGACTATTACAACCTCAACGTTAGCTCGAAACATTAGGGGGTGTTCACACACATGACACTCCGTCTTATGTTGAGGTTGTCCAGACTGGTCAGCACGCACGAAAGCATAAACCTGCGTCAGACACGACAAATTCACCAATATAAAGATTCATATATTAGAAATAATAACACAAAACACATCTCCAAAGCAGGTACGAAGACAAAAAGCTAAAAGGAGAATGGACTATTTATATAGGTGGACGAGTCATACTTTTCCACAATCCAGGCCATATTATACCGGCAAAGAAACAACCACTAAACCTCCCTTAGTTTTCGACTGAACAAAAAGATGGGATTTACCTCTTCACCGCAACTCGGGCAGCAGCCCTTCATAGCAACTAGATCACCTCTCCAAAGACCTTGCAAAGATCTTGCTACACGTTACAAAGCATCCAGGAAAAGAAACGATCAGAACCGTCGTCGTACCTAACCCGCCCTGAATTGAAAGAACCTTTCCTCACTAACGTAAGTCAGCAGACATACACCAGGCTTGATGAACCCGTCAGATGCTTCTTCCGTTCTCAGAACAACATTCAAATTCATCTACCGAGTTTAAAAGAAACAGATGCCAAAGCAAGTATATATAACGACAACTGAGATCCTCGGGACAAGAAGAAAAGTTGCAATCATCCACACCACTAACAATGAAACATACCTGCGGCCACTGTAATCGGGATGCCGATCGCTAAACCCATGCTTATGGCAAGAAGGCCGTTCATATACATCACAGTTTCTGTGGCCGCTGAGACTCCATGAGATTCGAATCGCAGATGTACAGACTTTTGACAGGCTTTGTTAAAAGCACAGACAGAAGGTCCGGCAGCAGTAACGATACCACTCGCGAAGATGAGGCCCCAGATGCTAGCCAAAGCCCACATTTGGGATGAATCTATCTGTTTCATCCTCCCTCCATACACACACAATGATCCTCTCAGCAGCAAATACAGTACGGCAAAGATTGCTAGCAACTACGTGCAACTACTCGAAGAATAGGTCACGCTAACATGATCCAGGAAGACAATGCTTTGAGGCATGGACTACACCGATGCTCACATAACTTGACGACAAACACCCTCGCATATTTCACTTCACGAAGACGAACGAACTACGACAGGACACAAACTGCGATAACTGTGGTTGAGATGACAAGAGACGAAGAGTAAGGAGGAGCTCAGGAGAACGAAGCAATTCCCGAGGGCGTAGAATATCCGGATAGTCGCCTTAATTGCCGTATACATATTGTACAACTAGAATTACATTTTAGAGATATATAATGAACAGCTTTGAACGGCTTAAGTGAGAACAAGTCGAAACTCGAAACCACCATTCAGATAAAATTGTAACCCACGCCTTTATCCTATACTAGGGCTCATCCACTTTAACACTAAACATATTCAAAACAAATAGGGCGTTGGATTTGTGACAAAAAAGTTTTTGAAAAGGAGAAGATGGAAAAGCCGTCAGTTGCACATTTTTCTTCTGTTTCTTTCTCATTCGTGCAACTTGCACTCAAAGCACCTGCGCAAGTGTCTTGAATTTTTCATCATGCGGCGACAGAAGGCTGAGGTTGGTCATATTGATACAATTTAAAGAGAAAAAAAAATCTACATTTAGAACACAGGGTGACTAAATGTACGGGACGTGAGTAAAGTGAGGATTATTATGAAACATCATATTCGATAAAATGTCCTCTCAGATTCACAATCCCATTCCACATGAATATGCACTGGGATGCAGCAAAGTACCCTACCTCGGCATCAGAGTAGGCGGAGAATCGTTTCAAACTGCATCGCGGATATTTCATAACAAGTTTTGAGCCATGCCACCGCAGCATTGTCTATTTGCATCAATATCAAAGAACAAAGTTATATCTGATCTTGAACAGCAAGTCATGAAATCAAGGAACTTGAAACAGTCAAAAGATGCTTTACAATTCTTGTGAATATAGCGTGAGCTTACCTCAACCCTGTCAAACATGTCATCTACTATTAGAGGCGACCCGCTATAGTACGAATCTCGCGCCTGTTGCATTGGAAAAAGCTTGAGAACGTCAGGACGCATGAGCAATCCAGCAGCATTTAGCACGTACACATATATCTCCACGTTCCAATAAATCCCAACCAATCCCAACATAAGTTCTTGTGCTCTTACACCAACTAATTGTAGCGCTAAACGAGTAGTTCCTTTCAATCCTCAAAGTGAAAATGACCACCTACTTGCAAGACCAGCAGGCTAACAGAGTAAAATGTAATTTACAAAAATGTATTGCTCCACGCTGATGAACCGCTCTCAATCCATTCTAATCTAAACTATAGTTCTAGTCTGTAAACGGAGATCGAAAACCTTGACAAGTCTTAAGCATTAATACTTCCATAAACCGACCTTTTCTATAAGTTCAAGGCTGAAAACGTGTTGCTCACCTGCTGGTACAGGGCTTCAAGTCGAGTTTTCTCTGCTTTCTCCAGTGGCCCGACATATATACAAGAAGGACCTTCGGGCAGATAAACTGGCTGTTCCCGCTCAGAAAAAGAATTAAAGTCCAGACCTGCCACTTCTACTTTCACGAGCCTACTCCTTGTACTCCCTCTACTTCTACTTTGCTTCAAATTAGACCTTGGAAATTGAGCGTAACATAGCAAATTTGGGGGGAATTTGTATTTAAGGGGAGGATATCTCTCAGACGGCAAACCATTTACAGAGCAAAGACTAACATTATTAGAAGCTTGAGAATGGCTGATTTCATAGGCAGCCAAGTTACTTAGGGCCCTTGACCCAGAAAGTGTTCTCATCCAGAATCTCAGGGAACCAGGAACAGAAGTCTTCCTTGCGTGGAGAGAAGGCCTACAAGAACTAGAAGGACAGAAAGAAGCCTCCTTAATCATTCCACCCACTAAACCACAACCTCGCTGTCAATCATACAGAAAAATCGCTACACAAGATCCAACCAATCCTCCTCTGTCTTTGAACGCGGGAGTCTCCTTGAACTAAATAGACTCTTCCCAGCCGATATACGACTTCGAACTCTTATGTCCAGCAAGAACAAGAAAAACATGCGCTACAAGCGCAGCTATGCTGTCTTTCGTCCCGACTCTCCGCAGGCCTCCTTGGCCCGTTTAGAGGCGAATTCTTGCACCAGCAGTGGTCTTCAAAATTCCCCTAAACCTCGAGTGCAAAATTCCCTCCCCGCGTTACGAGGATACGAGAAATCCTCCACCCTGTACCTATATATCCCCCGGTACCGGTATCAAGAAATATCTCTGAGCTCAGACTGCTTCACCGACACAACTTCGAAGGCCGAAGACAAGATCAGGAATAGCGACTTGTGCTGCCAGACGCCTACAAAGCAGCATCAGAGGAAATCCGGCTGCCGCTGTTTCGCCACTACCACAGCGGAATCGCGAGACGAGAACCAGTACGCCACAACTTGCGGTTCAAAGTTCCGACGAGCCCCTTGTCCTCCTCCGTGGTATGGAACTGTCCTACGAAGCCGACGAAGAGAGCCACCACCACACATACAACGACGATCTGCGGTGCGCGGCCACGTGACGCCTTCACATATCCAATGGGATCACAAGCTGCGAAGGAAGCACTCGTGCCCCGCACAGGCCCACGAATCATTTCGGCCCTTTTCCGGCTTTGTTCTTTTCTGCGCTGAGCACTTCTTCCGCAGTAACTGCGTGGTAGGCAAAGTGGTAGGGCAGAGCGGCTACAAGTTTGATTCACCTTTGTTTCCTAAGACTGCGTCTCCTGAAAGCTTTGTGGTATGCTGTTCCTCGAATAGGCTCAAAGTATGTATTAAGCCCAACAGCATCCGGTTGCTGTGTCGGGATCTACAGAACTCTCCGTTAATCTTCCTGCTCCCAGTTTGACATCGTTTGCTGCCAACTTATAGAGTGCCCAAACCGGATAGTAATTGTGAAGTCGGTGATAACATGCTGCAGTAACCTCTGTTGTATATTGGCGTGTGTAACAGGAGTAGAGCCGATTAGGCAATAATGATGTATTGGAGGGTTTTGGTGATTTTCCGTCTCCGCTCCCCTCCATTCAGAACTTTTCATCCTTTCTAATGAGGCTGACGCGATTGAATATTTCCTGTCTACCAGTCAGTGACCTTTCACTCGATATTTTCCTTCATGTTCCAAACTGTCTGGAGTAAAGTTAACTTACTATGATAATTAGATGATGTTCAAAACGTTACCGTTCCCGTTCGGCTTGCACTGTCACTTCGAAGATATGTTCTTCTGCTAGTCTGTATGTACATAACATCCACTCCTCCGATCCTTCGTCGAGATCTGCTTTTGACCACTTGCAGGTATTTGTTGATTCGACTTGCAACGCACTTGGGTGTCTCAATTTCTCAAATGTTACCTCCGAACAGCGACCACAGCTCAGAACTAAACCCCTATAACAAGTATCTAACACTTCATCCTTCGGGGCCCCGATTGCCGAAACTCAGGCTCCGAACAATCTCGCACAACTAAGACTTTGACCTACTTCACTGATCCTCAAAGTCATGAAGTGATTTCTCAGTGGATGGCAACTGCAACTGTAATCACAGACGCCGACTACAGAAATGAGTTGGTACTAGGTGATCAAGGACAAAAATTTGGCCGTGCTGATAAAATTCAGCTGATCTCAACATTAAATTTCGAATATTACATGGGTCACTCTTCCGCATACCATCGAAAATCGACTACTGTGCGTGAATTCACTTCCAAGAAATGGAACCACCTCCAACATAAGGTGGTTCGCTAGCTTTCAGGCCACATTTACCGGTGAAGGTCTGGGCCTTAGTGCCAACACAGGATAACGGCAGAACCTCTCATTTCGATGAGCTCACGTCAGCTGCTAACAAGCTGAGTATCAATGACGGGTGGAGGTTAATTCTTCACTACCTCAGTAAGGTGTACTACTCCTGAGTGGAGTGTTCCAGAGATATGACAAGAATAATACACCTTTATTAGCGAACACTTTCATAACAAGAGCCGCCAACAGGCAGAAAACGCGATTCGAGATCAAAAGTCGGTTAAGTTAGGTGCCCTAGTTCATCCTGCGGATGAGGGCGTTGAGCTTATCCTCTCTGTTTCCTGCGTCTCCGTGCTCGATGTAGTGGTTCCTCTTCTTCTCAAGGCCGCCGAGTGGGGCGCTCAGCTTGAAGGGCCACAAAAAGTTGTTGGCTTCCTTGAAGTGGGGACCAACAGTGTAGATTTCGTGGATCAGATCCTCAATACAGATGATTCCGAACTTGCCCAAAGCCTGGAACAGACAACAGAACAAGATATTTAGAATTCAAATAACAACAGTTTTAATATAAAATCAGTCACTAAAGTTGGGATCCCGTCACAAAGTCTGCTTCTAACATTCACGAAAAGGACGATGAACAATACCTCTTCGATGATGGAGTTGTCGGTCAAGGGAGTGCGGGCCTTGTTTAACTTTCCATATCCTCTCTTGTAGATGAGCTCACGGACGCTCTTCAGGTTGGGGTACCTGCATTGTCGAAGACAATCCCTCAGAACAAACAATCTTACGCTGACGTAAGGCACAACTCAAATGTGAACTTCAACTCGCAACATCGACCTCAGACTGGACAAAACCAGGGTCTACTTCGAAATCTCTTCGCATTCCACGAAGAATACATGTAACTGCAGAAGTGTGGGCGACCCAGACGACATGAAATACATACACCCGGCCACAGGACTGGATTGAGTAAAGGTTTGCTGAGGGACTCACCCGTAGGTAACGTAGGGTTCAACTCTCCGGAGCATGTTCATGGTGGCTTTGTTGACCTTCATGAACACACCGTTGAAGATCTGTCGCAGACGAAGCAATTGCAAGATCTTGCGAGTCTTTGGGTGCATGTCATTGATACTGTGAGGGAAAAAGTTAACGATCAGCCGTGATAAATTTGACCTAATTCAATATTGAGGCTAACCAGGCACTAACATCATCCAAGCGAAGGACATCTGGGTAACAAAAACGAAACCGGCACACCCGGCATTCTAGTTGAAATACATTAGGTTAGTGATATCTTACCCCCTAATTCGGACAACGAACATAAGCTTAGCTTCAGCCTCAACGTAGAAGCCACCCTTCAACTTGGCCTCACGCTTAAGTCTGATCAAGTCGTTTTCCTGTTCAAAACCAACGCACGACGAAGTCGGTTTACAATTTCCGTAGCACCCTCCGAAGTGGGTTTATATATTTAGGGTTCGGGGTTCCCAGGGAACTACTTCAGTTATAGGATGAATAAGATTGTCTCAAGATTCCAAATTCCTACGTACAGGGCAATTCAGGTTTAGCCCGAGAATAGTATTCGGCCCAACACTCATTCCGGATCACTCTCAATTAGCAAACAGCTCAGAAGTTTCGCACTGGTAATGCAATCATGTGTTCGATGCAACCATGCTGCTTCCCCCTCGTGGTGGACACATAAATCAGCAAACTGGCATGATAGAAATGTAAAATGCACAAAATACCTACGATGCGATGGAGGTGTGGCAGCTGGGTATAACTGGTAGAATTGATCTTTACAGTGAGTAGAGATGAGAAGAAGAATGACATAGGAGATCCTTTCAAGGTGATGGGGAAGGACGTTGACCAAAACCCACATGAACTGCTGGACATCCTTTAACATCATAATTCGGCCAATGTAGCTAGGAAATTTCGCGAGCTAAGTACCTGTTGACGGTACTCCTTGACATACTGATCTGCCCTCTTGAAGATGACCTTACGGTTTTCACGGTTCTTAATCTTGGAGGCATCCTGCTGCTCCTTGCGGGACAGAGCCCACTGCTCATCTCTCTTCCTCTTCTTGAGGACAGACTCGGGCACCGTCGGTGCGGCAGCTACTTCCGCGCTCATGTTGACTCGTTTCTTGACAAAATCTTAGACACAACCTGCAATGCCTTCGACTTCAAAACGCAGAACCCATGCCCAATTCCATCCAACAAATAACAAGCCACCAATTTCAAAACTTCCACACAAAATTCATCGACACGAGAAATTCGAGAGAAATCACGACGCAAGCTGACCTGCTGGTTTCGGACAGCAATCCGTGAGCAATCGAGACTGCTGCTAGAGAAAGGACCGTAACTTTGGTCGGACAGGGCATAAGCATCATGCTCGCACAAAACCCTAACACCAAAGAACCGCACGATGTGCTTCCAAGTAGCCCTAAGATCCGATGGTCAGGATCGCTCAAAGGTCTCAGCTAGCTCTATTGCTCATTAGACCGTCCCCATCCCAGCTGGTCTTCCTATCCTTTTTGGCTATATTATTTCATACCCAAGTGGTTTGGCGGAGTGATACCGTATAACCTTTAACTCCGCTACTTTTAGATAGAGAGGATTAAGCCTTTAAAAGAGCCGAAATTTTTGTTGATAATGTGATTTCCTGAATCTTGTACAATTTGAAGTAATTGTATAAATTATTGAAGATTGAATAACTCACTTTGTATGCTGAAATAAAGGGACATGTCACAGAAAACGGATGTGGTTGATCCCACAGTAAGCTACAAACTTGGATACAGCTGACCATGTTCGGGCTCTTTAGTCTTCTGTTCTACCAGGTTCAGGCAAAGGTTCGGGCAAAGTATCGGTGGATGGATGAGCGTAGACTTCCGTCTAAGTAAGTCAACGGAAGTTGTGCCATCGCATTTGCCTTCCAGAATCCAGACGCAATGAACGGATACCGGCTGAAGGCAGTCAGAAATTACCGGCAGGGAGCTCCTGTGATCGAATGTGGAAAAACGAGTCGACGCCGATGTACAACGAGGTGTCGTCGAGGAATTGCACGACCGTGATTGCGATTGACTCCTCTGATATTTGAAACCAAATGCAGAAAGTTTCGCGTTCGTAGTTTTGACATTTTTTGGCCGGAGAAGAACATGGCGAATTCGCTGAAGCCCGATGAAGCCAGAATTGACGGCCGAACTGCAAACCAGCTGCGGCCTTTGCTGTGCACGAGAGGTTTGCTTGAACGTGCCCATGGTTCTGCAAGATGGCAGCAGGGTAAGGAAATATTAGCTTAATTTTATTTGTGCCTCTTTGTTTCACGATATAATATCTCTTGAGAGCGAATTGTTGTATGCCACCACCTTTCTTTCTTATTTTTATTATTTTAAGGAACGAATTTAGGAGAGAAATTTTTGTCAGAGGAAAGAGAACAAACCTTCGGATTTTAATACTCTGGGGATCTATCCCTTCATTACGTTTGAGGCGCGGTGTATACTGTCTGACAGTTCTGTGAGAATGTTTCTCGATTTGTTCGAATCACCTGTTACTGGTCTTTGAACAACCTTTCAAACATATTTCATTTTTAACTGGATTGTTATCTGCCCATGTCCATTATCAGAGAACACGATCGTCATGGCAGCGGTTTATGGCCCGAAGAATGTGTCCGGCAAAAGGGAAAACTCAGAGCGTGCAACTGTTGAAATCATTTGGAAGATGAAATCCGGCTTGCCAGGTGCGTGTTTAATCCGGAAGTGGGATTTTCTTTCCGATTGCCGCCAATTAGTCAAACACGGATAGTTCGTATCTGCTACTTTGTGTTGCTGTACAATATTTGAATTCACAGTACATTCACGTGATGTATAAGATCAAATGTTGAATTGAGCTTTTTTATTGTAGGTTATTGCCCAGCTGTAATGTAGATGTTTCTACCGAACGCGCTGAATCCTTGATGTCATGGGCTTTTTTTATGATTATGTTGACATGATAACAAAAACCAAGGCTGAATGTGTGGAACGAGGTTTTATTTTTAGTCCCCTTTACTGGAGCATGATTGTAATCTGATGCTTCAGCATTAATCACACTAAACTCATGAACTTATAGGCAATGCTGAGAAGGAAGCTGAAGTGATAATACGAAGGACATTAGATTATATCGTCCTTTCAGCTATGCACCCCAACACCGGTATCTCCATCATATTTCAGGTGATCACATTTCTCTCACAATGGAACAGGGAGTTCTAGCACACGATGCCCACAAATAGAAAGTGATCAGTACACATTCTTCTTGAATTGAGATTCTCCTTCTTTTTGGAGATATATTATCCTTCGGAGATAAACATGAAATACTGCTTGTTGCAGGTTGTGCATGACGATGGAGCTGTATCCTACCCCATTCTGCCTGGTTATCATGCCAATCTTGAAGTGCAACATAGATTAAATCCAAATTTGAATCTCAATTCTGGTTGTTGAAAAAGTTTATAGACTTTGCTAGAAATGTTGAAGGCTGGAAAGAGATGAAAATTATATGTTCAAATCAAATTACGTGTGTGTGACTTACTTTGCTCTTCGAAGATCCTTGACTTCTAGTCGGCCAGGTTCTTGCATGTGCGATCAACGCAGCTTGCGCTGCTTTAGTTGATGCCGGGATACCTCTCAATGGGCTCATAGGTACTGCTTACCTTCCAGTCGTATCATTATCTTATCTCTCATATCTTGTGTTGTATTTAGAGGAGAGTTCAACTCAGTAGGGATGCTAATAGCATATAACTGACGTCTTTCATGGCTGTCTTTTTTTGTTTCAATGACATGTTTTGGCTCCTCAGAGTCTGCACTCAGAGAACCAGGTCACTACTCAGCTGCTTTTAACGATCTCAGGCTCCTGCTCTTTGCGCAGTTGCCGTAAGCTGTGCAGTGACGACTAATGGAGTCGTTGTCCTTGACCCCACCAAGGCGGAGGAGAAGGTGAGTATTGTTTCTTGTGTTTCTTGTCGCATATTTATCTCTACACTGAAAAGATGTCACAAAGTAGAATTCACATGATGAATGATAAATCGGATTTCGTTTCAGAACTTCCGAGCACATGTTTGTCTGGTGTTTCCCAATCGCCCGAAGTCGACTGTGGCTGGATTGCCCCCTCCAGTAGCTGGTGAGCCTGCAGAACATGGGATCATAACATGCCTAACACGAGGAGCTATGTCCGGTAAGTTACTTCAAGTTCTCCTCCCAGATGATAAAGCCTTTCAAATTAATCATTCTTGTTTTGAGAACTATCGTTTGTATTTATATGTTTTCAACACAAGCCTGGAATAGCGCAGCCCCTTTGTCACAATAAGAGAGACTGTAATTGAATACAATCTGTGAATTTAGCACCCTGAAATAATTCTACGTGGAGCATGTTTTATTCACGGAGAAAGTGGATTTTCTGCAGTGGATGAATATATGACATGCTTAGAAAGAGGACGAGCAGCAAGCGTGAAGATTTCCAACTTCTCACGAACTAGCCTAGAACATTGTCAAGTGAGAATCTACCTTATTTCCCTTGGCTGCCCTTCTTTAATCTTCGACTCTTCACATTGGGGTAGTCTTTTAACATGTATCTTTGTATGCGCTTTCCTTTTTCATGCAGTGCATATCAATACATCGCAGTGCTACTTCGTAGAACGATAAGTCCCTCAATCTTGCGAATTGTGAATGTCACTAACCGGTTGAGTTTACATTCGACAGTTACATAAAGACATGTCTTAGAAACTTCATGCAGGTTTAAAGTGATTTTTCTGGTTGGCAGTTAATATGAGCTCCATTCTTGACAAGAAATTGCTGTTTTAACCTTGACGTTGTACCGTTCGTAAGGTGGACATTCAGATTGCTATCAGTGATTGTAACTTGGCTGTTTGTGTGCAGCGTGGGTATGAGATGCTGAATGCCTGAACACTCTTCACAATTTTCCGCACCCGGGGAGAGACATCTATGTTCGAAGTTGCAACTCGTATGCAGCTTACAATTTTGACAGATACTGCTACATGTACATCAACCACATCAGTCATACTGTATCATTGGCCTTTATCCACTCATTTTCGATAGTAGGAAATCAGAGCGGTGTCTAATATTGCACTTTGAAGATATCATGACATCCAACTGTGTGCTAATCACTGTAGTTTCATGTTAGGTGTCATGGCTTTCACTATTGCCCAACTTACTGCACGGGCGCTCAATTGTATCTAGGCAAATTTTTACAAATATGATTCCATTCTTTTCCTGACACCCTTGATGGGTGTCAGGAAAAGAATGCTTGACAGCTAATTGCGCAGTATGTATATCAGATGATCGAACTATAAGCAGATTTTTTATCCAAATAGGTACAGTCATCTATAACCGTCACATTCCCCCTTCAGTTTGTAATAGCTTGAAAACTCTATAGAGAAATTTTATTTTAATTTCTGGTTAATTGGCTGCAGACCTATCTTGTAGTAATCAAGTTAAACTAAGAATGTCTCGTTAAGAGTGCGTAGCACTGTTCTTGAACTGGTATTTCGCTCGATGATAGCTTGGCAAACTGAAGTCACATAAGACATGCATCTTTCTTTTCCCCTACCTCCACATCACAGAAGGATGAGCTGCTGATTTGGAGCGTTTGAAATAAGAACTTGGGATGTGAAGCTTATTCAAAAATGCAGTGTCAACACATGTAAGGAAGATGATCTTTCCTAATCTTTTTATTTCGATTGTATGGTCATTAGGTTATATTAGCTCCTGTTGACAAACTGTGGTTGCCACCGTTTTTTAACTGCTGATTAAAGACATTTGGACCCAAATAAACATTATTATGTTTCTGCTGCTTCGCGCTCATGGTGAGAAGACCACCTTTAAGCTAGGAAAGACCTAAACTTCTTCTCACACGCTTGTGAGAGGTATGGGCGTACATGATTCTGAATGTACGAGATTACTCCAAGTGCTAGCATTTCTGCACATTGAACGCCCTAGGCATTCTGCCATTCTTGTAAAGGGATATCCAGCCTGTACTTGAATCTGTTGACTTCATAAGTGTACCTCATTGTTATAGAATATAGTGGATACTTTATGTGTAGCTACTTGGTTCCGCAACCGATGCCTGCTTACGTCCTAGAACTACATCACGTATATGAGTCTGAGAATGAAATGGTCAGTGGTAGAAGTGCGCTCTGTTTCTGTCGTCCCTTTAATATCTTAGTTTGCAGGAGTTATCTTTACTTCCCGTGGGCAAACATCGTTATATATAACTGATCTAAAATTTCTCACGTGCCGGAGCTCAGATACGAAGGATGTTGCCACCAATTGCTGCTAAGAAATTGTCATAAAAGGTAAATTGTACTCAGAATACTGTCCTTGTTGCGTCAAATTGCCAGTTCGTGGAGGGCGCTCATACGTAGCTAACCTGGAACGAGAGATCTGCTGTGCAATTCCATAAAGTCTGGATAGAAGAGGAGGCCGCTCCAATCACCATTTCCAGTTCTGTGTTTACCGAGCGAATAACAAGAATTGAGTGACGGAATCTCAACAGCTCATAATCTACGAAACATCCAAATTTGCATCTTCCTGTACTGTTGACTACTCAGATGAAGCATGCAACAAATAGCAGTGTCATTGTGTACAGGAATGAACGTCTATATAACTTGCAATCATATACCCTTGTACAAGACAGCATCAATAGAGGAAAAGATCCTGCAGAAAGAAGTACCTGCTGTACCTGTTACTCAGTTTACGAAATCTACGGCAAATCCTACGCGCTGATTCAATGACGCAGATGGGACTTATGGAGTGATCCAGTGAGCCCGACAACCCCGTAGAAAGCAGCAGAAAACCACGTTGGGCGATTGGAGCTCATGGGACTTCGTCTCTGGAGTAACTGACAGGACGTGACATCTCCCATGCAGAATCTTGTGCATTTAGAGTCTAGACTCTGGGGCTGCATGCTAGAGGCTTTAGTACTGGGTGCCACTTTTGAAGTTCGTGCCATCTTTGTGGCGAAGTTATTTCACCTTCACTTTTGGGACAATCTAGTTCAGTTTGGACTGTCACCCGACATACCGTAGACTCTTTGCTTTAGAGCACTGAGGAACAACGAGGAACTTATTCTGCTGTAGGTCACGAAAAGTGCAATGCAAAAAGAGAAGGAGGGAGCGCTGGGAAATTTGTGTGTGATGACTGTGAAATGAAGCAGACACTGTATACCTACCTGGAAGCCCTCGGTACTTGTGGTTTCATGTTTTGGCCATTCTTCAATCCATCCTTGGCTTGTCTTTGCCATGGCAATGGTGCATGCTAGATCTTGCTTCAGATTCTCAAGAACTATTTTTTCAACATTGATGTGTTATGTTCTGGCTTTGTTCGTATACCTACATATTCACTATTCACTTATGAACATAGTTTTTTATTTTCATTTTCATTGTTTATGCATTCATTACACTAAATATTTAATTATTTCGACATATTTTCTGTTGATAGATTATGCATGTGGTATTAATTTGTGGATCAACTATTGATGACTTGTTGTAAAATTACATACCAAAAAAAAGTTACCCATATGACTGTATAGTAGTGATGTTTGTTATGTATTAAAAGTTTTAGAACGTTATATAATCATGGTCGTAGTTGTTATAAAATCAAATCAGCTACAATATTGACATGCAGAGATGTCACATTTTTTCCCATCTAGTCTTCACTTATATGAATATAATATTTCATGTTATTAGATTGAGTCGTATGACGTCAGTTTCTGAGCACTTCTCCATTCCCCTCCAGAGAACACTTGCTGGTTAATACATAAAAAAATCAAGAATTTTAGATGATTTTTGTTTATAATCTAGTGAAGTAATTTGTTTTGACCATAAACTTTAAAGAGCATTGGTTAGTTTTATCTATTTGAAAAATTTTAGTCACTGTTAAAATCATAGCGAAGTATGCATCATGTTTTGATCAAACCATTTTTAAACCACTGCTTGATCTAATACATAAAAACTCCAATAATATTTCGTGATTATTTTTTGTTATTCTCGTGAAGTTGCATAACGTTTGAATGTATTATTAAAAAAATACAGGTAGATATGACTCATGAAAAAATAAAAGATGTTAGATATTAATAGTTGTTGATATTAAAATGAAATACGCATAAGTTTTGACGGGATAAGTCTAAAAATTGATTAATCTAATAGATAAATTGATCAAGAATGGAAGGCGATGATTGTTTACATTATTAGTGGAGTATTGATAATGTTCTAATTAGACAAAATTGCAAAATTGTGATACGGTTTCCGTTTTGATGGTAATGAGGCCTATCGTTCTTGGTTTCTTCCGTGTACAACCTTACTGGGTGCTTCTCATCCTTTTTACAAAATTAGTTGGCTTCTTATCTTTTAATTTCGTGATTTAATTAGAAAAGATTACAAACACATAATATGGAGTAACCCAATAACAACAATGCCCAACACAAACGCTGGAGTTGCAATGTTGGGATCTCACAATTGATCACCTAGCGCTGTGAGCTCATCCAAAGGATATGGAATCTTAAGGAAACATATATGCTCGTACCTTCACAATGGGTTACACCACCTAGAGAGTTGCTAACTTGCGTGGCCATTGGCACGTCGAGGGCAAGAGGAATCGTCCGACCTGATGAAATATAAGCTGATGATGAATCTCTCACCTGATGACTTACAATTCTGAATGAGCTCCTCTCATTGAGCATTATAAGCCTCAAGAGGTGCTGAGCTTGTATGGGCAAACGAACGGCTCGTGCTGGGTCTACTATAGGCCTTGTAACTCTCATGATACAAGATTGTACAATCCTTCATCTTTCTCTTCGAAGTCAGTGGTTTGTACAGCAGTAAGGATATGTTAGTTACAACGGGAAGTGCACGCAGTTAAAACCAATTCGTTGTGTCCAAATGTAATCATACTTGGAAGTCACAAGTTCGGTTAATAATTCTCGAATTCCAATGTGTTCAACTTTAGGTGAGTCCATGTGAGCGTCTACATTTGGGGGAAGTTGATTTTAAGATGGACGTGTAGTACAGCAGGCTTTCGCTTTCAGCTGAAGTCAAAAGGAGTAGAGCACAAATATATGTCCAGGGACAGGAGATGTGGCCGGTCCAAGGACAGATGAGAACCCTGCCGTGCCTAAAAGGCAAATATTTGTACTTGTAGCTCTGCATTCAAAGGCTACATCTGGACATCTACAAGATTTCCTCGCAGTAGATTCTGCAGTCACCATCAGTGCAGCGGCTGTGTTCATGTGACAGTATCTCTTGACCATTCGATAAATGAATCCTTGAACCAAACACTAGAAATGATCACTCTATGAGCCTGTTTTCAACATTCACAGACACTCTTCTTTAGATTTCACACGAGATAGACATGTTGTAACTTGAGCATGGACTTTTCTCGCAGAGAATTGACTTCAAACGGAATTATATACATGATGACAAAGCCATCGTGAACAACGAGATGCTCGTATACCTCCACCCAACATAAAATTAAAAAATGCAAAATAATTTATGTAGTTGGTGTTTACATCATCAACCCCATCACGAGGTTTACTCGGCCCCCGCTTTCAAACTAGGGTTTTCCGAGACCTAAGGTCCCGTTTAAAACTCATTTATTTTCACACTTTACATGCAAAGCCAGGGGGAGAGCGTCTACCGAGTGACAGGAAAGTACAGTTGACGTGGTTGGACCCGAAAAGGCTAATCTTGTGATCGAGTTCTTACGACCAAAAAACACAAAATCCAACCTCTGACAGAACCTTTAACTAAGACGCAAGAAGAGCAAATTAACGGCCAATAAGTGCCCAGATCTCGTCATGTCAAAGGAAAGTGCCGCACGTGTCGAGCTTATATCAACACTCCCCATAGAAAGGTCTTCCCGTATCCTCTCGCCTGAAGGTGCTCCTGGCTGGAGATACTTTGCGCTCAGGAGGCGATCGATATCGAGATGGACGGCTCTCGGGAAATCGCACGTGCAATCGGGTGTCTGGAGATTATCGATATGGTATCTTCGGAGGATTCGGGAATAATTTGAGGGTCATGACAAGGCGCAGAGTTTGGGAATATCGTACGAGGACGAGATTCGTGCCGGCGACGCGAATAGGGAGAGACTGGTTTTTCGATGTTCGGGAACCAGAAAGGATGCAGTTCTGCCTTTCTACGTGGTGCGGGCGTGAGGTGCGTTGAGGTCCGAGACAGCGACGTGGTTCGGCGCGATGAATCCAATATTCTGCTCCGCAGAACCTGCAGAATGAGACGTGACTACGGAAAGTGTTGCAGTTACGATCCTCTGCTACGCCTGCCAATGCAGAGACTTCAGTAGGCGCCGACCGCCACCAGACAATACCTTTTGGGCCTTGGGCCTTGTTTTGTCTGATTCCTGCCGCTACGCCGAAGAACCTCCAACTTCTCTAATTGTTATACCCTCCGGATTTGTCGCATGGACCAGTTCGCCATAGGCCTTCATTTTTTCTTCCCCTCTACAGTTTTGGAATGAACTATGTCAAACCTCACTTATGAGTTGGAGTTTCAAGGGCCCGATTCCTTCGATCTTCGACGACTGAGAGCAGGAGTCTCCCTCATTTTTGTTGCATGTAGAAGGCAGGTGAGCTATTTCACTGATTGCTTGTGTTGACCTGCTGTGCTTCAGGATGGAGGAATTCTTTTCCCGAAGCTGTTCGGAATTTTGAGTCATCCAAAGTCTTGAACTACTGCTTTAGGTCATTACAGTTCGAAAAAGACAGAAAACTTTCGGAGTTGACTATACATTATTTTTTATTCAATCCTTGTAACTGTTCTTCAAATTATTTGGAGACATTCTGATGTACTACATGCAAAGGTTGCAGCGAAGCCCTTGATGATAAACGATAACAGCGCTCCTGCACTTCTCATCGTTGAAATAATTGTAATTACCATTTTTCCTTGACATAAACTACCTAATATGACTGTGACAAGCAAACCTACAGCCCGTCTGTTATATTTATAGATGATGAATTAATAATCACACATTTTCTTATGCGTAAAGTGATCGGACGTCTTAGGTTACTTTTTTACAGGTATGGAAAATGTGTAATCAGATTTATTTTTTTATATATCCATAATATCAATATTCATATGATTACTTCTTAAGTACTAAATTTTTTTTATATTAAATTTATGTGCTAAGAAATAAGATGTCATGATTGATAGAAATTAAACATCTACTGAAAGAAGCTAAAAAATTACTCATTCAATTATAAAAATCCAAAGTAAATCAAGGATATAAAATTCTAAGAATCCAAAAAAATTCAAAATTATTGCTTGAGTTATAATTTTAAGATATCAAAAATACCAAGAATTTGGTTTGGTACAATAAAATAATTTTCAAAATTTTCTAGTTTTTCATTTTTATTCTTCATAATTGAGAAAAATCAATGAATTAGGCAAAAATTAGGACTGAAGGTAAATTTTAATCTATTCATTTATATTTACATTTTACCCACTAATATCTTATGCTATAATTTTTATAATTTTTAACTTAAAATATGCATTACAATGAAAGTAGCATTAATTTTTAAAAATATATTAAATTAAATTTTGTATATCTATATATATGCAAGATATTTATTTTTCCAAATTTCCTTAAATCATACAAATATCAGTAATGAAGTTCAAATTATACAGCAATTATGTAAACTAAAATTCCCGTTTTTTTTATATGAGGGAAAAAAAACTGAAGACTCCAAACTGAAAGATACTTCATGTATATTTACAAAATTTTTATCATCTAAGTCCATGAAATGTTTTTAATGATTTTTCAAAATTTTCAGACTTTCAAGTACAAATTAAACCTAGATAACTTTTGTTTCACAAAAATTCTTAATCTTTTCCTTTCTAAAACCGAGGATTTCAAAAGATATTTTGGAACATTCTTCCACAAGTCATTTTAATGTTATGAATATTATCCGTAGATATTATTTATATAAGATTTATCTTCAAATTCTTTAACAACGAACTCAGCAGAGGTAGTACATGTGTTGCAATAATTTTTTTTGCTATATCCAGAATCTTCTTATAACTTGATCTTAAAAAAAATATTTGTTGAAAAATTGTCACAAGTTTGCATTAGCGGTGGAACATGCGGTTTAATCCGATTCAACAAACAAACCTTACCAGCCCTCAACACATGAATAAGTGAGCTTGTCCTAAACGAGATGTACGAAGATTCATACATGTGTTGCATGCTGGTGGTCTTGAGACGGTGGGTTTAGAATTGAAGGTTTCTGAAATTTGTCCCACATATAAATTTCAATTCTCTTAAATTCATTTAAAATTCATTTCTAGAATTGTGAAGACAAACATGCAAACACGTGTCAGTATATGGTTTAGAGAAATTCTAATAATTCACAAATTATTGCAAATGATGCAAAGTAGATGATAAACATCATGAAATGTTAATGAATAATGAATAATGTTAATGAATAAACTGCTAGTAAGAAAGAATATCCAGCGGTGGAAAATTGGAATCAAGTAATCAAATGCTCCAATGACACTGTTGGAATGAGTTCGCAGTAAATGACTCTTTCCGCCTAACCTCGCGCATGATCTCCAGCCATGAGGCGAGTAGGGCCAAGCGGCTTAGACGAGGATTTAGGAAGCCCCTAGACAAAAGGAAGCACGAGGACCGACATCTCCTAACATGTAGAGGAAAAAGTAACATTTGGGGGCGGGAGTCAACCCCGCGGATTTAGGGGTGGGGGGCGCCTTCCTTCCTCCAGCGCAGGAACGACAAAGGACCACCGAGAGACGAGGCCACGCACGCGCGCGAGCCGCATCAGGAGCGTGTGAAGGTGCGCGACGAGGTCCAAGGGCGGGCGGCCATTGGTTCGTCGGTTCGAACGATCCATCGCTCGTACCTTTCCCAATAGATGTACAAGTCCAGCTGCCTGCCCGCCCGCTTCTCTGGACGTCACCTCGCCCTGCAATTTTCATTCTCCCTTGTACAATTTAGAATGTTGATGGCTTTTAATCAAGAACAACAATGGGAGGGCAGTGTTTTCGAAAGGTTGGGTGACCCAAACTTTCCCATTGTTTTCTTGGGTCACTCGTTTGGATCATGAGGGAGATCATAATGAATGAGATGAGGCGGCGATGGCCGCTGAAGAAGCAAGCTTCTCATCCCTGTCACATGGCATTTTGTTGTGTGGCCTTTTGTTCTACTGAAAGGAAGGTCATAGAAGGGAGAAGGGCTTTTCGCGATTGGGCATTAGGGCTTACCGCTGCCAGTGCTTTCCGGTACTGTAATTGTTGCCTTGGGTTGACGCTAAATCTTCTTCTTCGGTGTTTGGATTCGTGCTAATGGTCAGCACCACTGGTCATGGAGCTGTAGAAATGGTTTGCTGTGGTTCCAAGTACTCCAAGGGAGAGGAATGAAATATTTTTCTTGGATTAAAGAAGTGTATCGATCACAACTGTACGTGAGAAGCGGAGGATGTGAGATTGAGGAGATGAATGAGCAAAGCTCCAGTTCACGATGTGCCGAACATGGCGAGATACGGCGCTCATGATGCAGCACGGACTTCGCTCCCAGTGAGGAGCGTCTGTTCGTAGCCACCATAGGTATCCCGACAATGCCTTCCCCGGTGGTTCCCGGCCCGCGAACTCAGCGGTGCCAGAGAGGCTTTGGGCCAGCCAACTTTGCCATTAACTCTGCGGGATGAGATCTGCTGCTCGAGTAACTTGTAACAAGTTACTCGAGCAGATCTCATCCCGCACGGAGGTGCGAATCTTTTCGTCCAGCAACTCCAGCTTGCTTCCAAAAGATGAGTAAATCCAAAACTAACAGATCCCAGACACTGGCGGCCAACCTCTCCGGCTCGAGGCAGGGAAAAAGGTCTGCTAGATTCAAAACTTTCGAAAGCCCCGGGAACGAACTCAGCTTTGGACTTCCAATCTTCCTGGATCCTCCTCTGAGAACTGCCATCAGTCACACAATCACGCGCCTTCGGAGGTGAGAAATATATTCACTTGGAGAGGAGCTTTACACATGTAGTGGTGCTGCTATCACCGCAGTAGAATCCAGACGAAACAAAACCTCGTCACTCCTTTGCAGTTTCATAAAAAAAAGTGGATAGGGAGACCTCATAACTCCGCCCTACGGGTTGACGGAAAGCATCTGAAATCCCCAAATGAATACATGTGTTGACTGCAGTTGGTCCGTAACGCAGTCCGACTTCTCCCCCCGCCAATTTGACCCGCTTACCTCCTTGACTAATTCTCATCCTAAGAAGTGTGGACGGGGTTGGATACACAACTAGAACGCTGCATCAAGTATGGGCCTCCAAACCTGATTCGTGGAGGTCGCTCCAAGGGCTCCGGCTCCCGGTCCCTTTGACTTGGAGCCAGCATCGACTGGTCTCAGATCGAAATAGTCTGTCTAAGTATAGGCAGCAGCTGCTCACACTACGTCTGGTCCTCTTCCCTACAGTAGGGCACTGATTCCTGTATGTAATAGTTCCGAAGAGGAAATGTGCCAGCCACAAGAGGCTGGTATGGACGGAATCTGCTATTTTATTTGAACATGTGAGGGCGGACAGACCTTGGAGCTGCATGCTCCTAACCTAACTTGCGAGCGTGGTGAGGGTCTGGTCTGTCTGGTAGTGCGACCAGAACGATTTGCGTGGAAAATACTAGGTACAGTGGAGAAATGCCCTGGAAGCCTACTGCAAGTGGTGACCGAGTTGTTGATGGATGCGTGCTTGTGCACATTGTCAGTCACGGTGTGCCGGGAAGGTGAAGATTCATTCGTGACTCCACTTACTCGAGGGGTCTTGAATCCCGAAAGAAGAAGTGGGAATAACAATCCTGAAGCCTGGTGCTTCCGTCCGCGAATCGTCTGAAAGCTCGGAACGAGTTTCACTCAAATGCTCTTCTTAAGGTTTGGAGTCCCTGTTCGCGCCATTTCTCTACAGAGAGAACACGTGTAGAGATCGAGGGCGTTCGCTGCAGCTGCTTTAATGTTTGTGTGGTGGTGGGACCTGTGGTTACACTTGCGCACAGCCGGCGTGTCTGCTTGGTTCCTGTCCATTCTCGTTTGCGGTATGTCCGTTTTCATTCTCAAGCCTGACCGAAGCACTTCAGCTGTCGAGTTAAAACGCAGGGCTGTGGAGTGTGCGGAAATGCTGAATGCAAGTTATAACTCGTTGATTATATTCGTTAACAGCTCTCATTGATGGAGGAGTCATCAATACTCTACGTCTGATCACAATTCCTGTGTCTTTGGCCGTGCAGTTAGTTCTGGTCCGGAAAAATTACTTCTTCTTCCTCCTTCCTTTGAACATCTGGAGTTTTTGCAGTTCACATAGCTCTCTCCTCTCGACCTTTCTCACTTGTCTCCGCTCGACTGATCATCTTGATTTGGAATCAGTTCAGAGGATGACAGGAAGTTGTACGGGTCCGCACAGATCATTTTAGAACCGAGAGCGAATGCTTATGTTCACTCTGCGGTCTTAAAGATACTGTACTTTTAGGAAGCTGTTATGAGGCTGTATTGTCAGGGGCGACTTCGATCCAGGCACGATGCGTAAAATTAGAGGGAGCTGCACAATCTGAGCTTCGGAAGCTTGGTTGATCTTGCCAGGATATGCTTGTGCTCACTTGGGCGCCCTTTAAGTCAGTTCAGGTTTGCAGGTTTTAAATGTATTCCCCGTTGTGACACTCACTAGATTGGTAAAAGTAGGGAATCTGGATATGGTCGTGCAATTTCGTGTTTCGCATCTATAGATCTGAGATGAAAAACAATCCCTGGATCGTCTCATCCAGTGAAGGAAATGAGCAGCTGATTCTCACCGATTCAGCTGATTATCGATTTGGACGAAGATATCTGGATTCTCTCGCTTCCTCCCATTCGATCTGGTCAGATGCAGTCACGGAAAAAAGTAGTGCGTTTTGTACAGGATACGATATTTGAAAAGAGGAAGGCCAAAGATATGAGATCATACGTTTAGACCTCTGGACATAGTCACATTCTCAAGGAATCGCCACAATTCTTGACGGGAAGGACCGTGTTGAGTTGGGGAACAGTGCCTCCTCGCCAGCCTGCGATAGATACTGAAACAGATCGGAGCGGTCTTTCGTCATAGGAACGGAAACGGAGAAGCTGCAGACTTCTGACCCAAGGGTGGAACTGGGAGCTAGATAAACCGGTGGAACGAACGAGTTTTTCAAGATGGTAGTCATAATCCGCAAGAAGTTCAAGCCTGCACAACATCAGCAACGAAGGCTTTTGTTGGCGGGAGGAGTTTTGAGTTTGGTCGCTCTATCGATGCTTGGAATCTCCATTGCGTATCTGTATACGCCACATCGAATAACTCCGTGCGGCTTGGTGGGAGATCTGTGCGTCAAAAGTTCCTATCCACCTCCTCCGCCCCCTTTGAGGACGTTCAGCGATGAAGAAGTCGCGTCGCGTGCTGTTGCCAAGGATATCTTGTCTCAACGCAGAATGTATCAAGGGGGGACACCCAAAATTGCATTCATGTTTTTAACACCAGGCCCCTTACCGTTCGAGTTCATCTGGGAAGCGTTTTTTAAGGTACTGAAAGAGTTCACCAAATCTGCACTAGATGTTCTAGGAACATATGACACTCATTTTCAATTTGATTTGAACAATTGGATTTGTAAAATGGGTGAGTGTCCTCGCGAAACTGGAAATAACTGGGTTATTTACAGAAAAGAACTAGATGGGTCCTAAAGAACGTACTGTAATTTTCGCTTTGACTGTATCTGCCGACCAGAGTCGAGGAATCCGTATGCTGTCAAAGCCCTTAGCCGGAACTTAACTGATCAAATGCGTATCGTTTCTGAGTATGTGACCTCAGGGACACGAGGGCTTGTATTCCATATATGTCCACGCTTCCGAACGCAACACCTTGAAGAGCATCTGGAGGAGTCGCGTGTTTGCCGATCGTGAAATTCCAAGCGACAAGGTATGGGGTCTTAACGTTTTCTATAGATCTTCGAAAGTTTCAACGTTAGGTTGGAAAGAAATCCCAGCTGTACACTTTTGAGTGTTAAAGCTCCTTTTCTTTTTTGTTAACACTTTCTGGAACAGCATGTGGGTCTAATGCCTGGAAGTTTGCTTTCATTCGTTCGACGGAGGGAACAAGCCTGCAGTAGAGGCAATATGAGACCTCTCTAAGTCTTTTCGGGCTTTGTAATACACTGAAGAGTACGAGTAAGGAAACAATACGGCAAGCAGCAGCCCAAATCTCCCAAATCACGCTAGGATCATAACGTAAGGATCACATTTAGGGTTAGTCTGTGTGAAGATAAACCTACCAAGCTAATCAACTTTGCCTTTAATTCTAATTATCATATAAAAAATTTAGCTGCGAGGTGCAGGACATCGGCAAGGATCACAAGAGCTGATAGTTCTACATCTCATTTCAAGCGTGGAATCTAGGTAAAGAAGGACTTATGAAGTAACTGAGATCTGTAAATGTAGGTTTTGAATGCAATCAACATGATAGATTTGCGGTATTGCACTACCGTAACATAATTGCGGCAGGCCCAGTATTTGACGAAAGTGATCTATATTTAATTTTCAGCGAATTTGCCACACAAAAAATATCTTATTCCATAAAGATTGCTGTCGGTTAAATAAAACGTAGTTCAGCATAAGAGAAACTCATGATGGTTGGTTGCCACAAAGTTTGCCTATCAGATTCGAAGAAGTATTAAATGTTAATTAGATCGGCTTATACAAACCTTAAAGGTTTTTTTCTGTAGTATTTGCCTTTCATTGCAATTGGTAACAATTCGAGGTTCTACTGAGAGTAGTCAATCAGTGAAAGTTGCATATCCAGGGGTGTTGAAACAACTTCTTACAGACGCGAAGCCAGCATCCATTGAACCACCACAAACCTAGTAACTTGTAGTTTGTAATCAGGACGAATTGTGGAGGCGACTAGACGAGCGTACTCTCTGGATTTTTGCTTTTCTACTTTTCAGGCTGATAATATTCAGTGTGCTACAGTCGATAACGTCCTTACTGAGTGCGCTCTCGATGTTGTGTACGGCAGGTATACTGGGGAAGAATAGAAATGATTGACGCAGAACGGCGGCTTCTGTCAAGAGCCCTTTTAGATCTGAACAATCACTTTTTTGTGCTTCTATCAGAGTCGTGAGTACTCTGCTTTGTGCTTACTCAACGTAAAGACACAAGAAAAATGCATGAGAGCAGATCGTATTCATTGCATTCTTGCAGCATCTACACCGTAAATTCGGAACATCTCCAAAAGTCGTTGCAAAGACAGCTAATTGTGTTGCGATGAGCTAAATCTTTGTGTATATGTCTGTATTCGCGTTCTCATTTTGCCATTCTTTCAACTATACACCTTGTACTAAGTTTCATGCCACGTTTCTTTTCTTAACAGGTGCATCCCATTACGTGAATTCACCTATATTTACAGTGCCTTGATGAACTCTACGTTCAGCTTCGTTGACAAGTAAGAAACGACCAAATGTGACCCCAAAGATTGATAGCTGGTCTCCTTGTAATAGCAAGTCATACACCATTGCTAGTAAAGACCAAAAAGATAAAAGGGTATGGTAGATGATATGGATTCGTGATTTTCTGGTCGTATATCCAACAGATTCAGCTCACATATAACGAGTTCTTTCACTTGGGGCAAAACTTGTCATTTTCGTCTCATGTCGTCAAGCGAATCTAGAAGGATAGACACGCAACGCACTAGAGACTAGCAATCTGCTAGCTCTCATTGATAACATGATATCTACTCAAACTGTGTGTAGCTTTGATGATCCCGGACCTCATGGATTGGGACGATACATAGAGGATAAAATGACACCTGAAGTACAACCTTATGACTGGAGGAAAGGAGCTCAGGTATGTAACTTTTACTTTTGTGCTTGAAGACATTACTGTTTGGTGAGAGGCCTCTCGCACCAGATAAATAGTTCTGTTTAGATATTGATCACGACTTATATAAGCCTCTATAGAAGATAATCATTAGTATTTATCGACGAAAAAGAAGATCAGATCAAAGATTTCATAGGGAAAATGCTCTCAGCTCCTAGGGAGGTTTGTTTCATTCAATTCTGAGGGCATCTTTGGGCGAGCATGGTTGCGTGCTATCCTTAATCGCCTGCTTTGTAAAAAGTGTTGGCTTGCTTGTTTACCTTGACGTCTAATGAGCAATTCGTTTTCTCGTCTGTTCATCAGTGGTTTGCAGTGATGCGACGACATGCCGTTCTTTTAGTATCAGATTATCTCTACTACATGAAGTTTAGAGACTTCTGCAAGGTAGCACACGCTTTCCTTCTTCTCAGTTCAAAGTTTTTTTTGGATTGCAAGCCCAGGCCTACGGTCTAAATGTTCTGAAATCAAAAGTCCGTTCTAAATCATTTATTCAACAGTCGCGGGGCATGTGCAGTCGGAGTGTGATTAGTCTGCATCATCTTTTGTTTCTCTGTGAAAGGCTCCTGGACTGATTATGTACTGATTTTCTAAAGGAATATGTGCATATTTTATATCGATTAAAGGTGAACGTATCAAAAGTGCTCTAGTCTTTGCTTACGAATACGTCCTTCATGTGCACTACGTTTCTCATACGCCTTCACACCAGTCATGTCTACAGCATCCCTTGAGCATGCACCTCATTTCTACAGGTGCATGGTTAACTCTGGATCAAGGATGTAGACCTTTTGTGCACATGCTCCTCAATTCATTTCGATACTTACGTCTCGTTCATACCCCTGCTCTATGGTCAACGCCAATTATGCATCACTTCTTCTCCCTTGCACTCTTATGTAAAGTCTACAGGCATGCTTATTGCTAATTCCCTCATCTCACGAGTTAGGCAAGTTCTGGATGTGTGCTTCGATCACTCGTTATTCTTGCGATCGAAATTTCTCCAATTATGTGGGTCTTGCAGACAATGCCTAAACGCAGAAATGCTTCTTTATAAGCGCAGAAATGCCTTTTTCATACCCTCACCGTCTGTTTCGTTTGTCTATGCTGGGGTTTAGGCTGTAAAAGAAGTAGGTGAAGATTCCAACATATGCAACGTATACAATTTCTGGTAGTATGTCTGTAGAGACTTTCCTCAAGTAGGAAAGTGGCTTGCATAGAAAGTATCCTTTTTGGCTATCACCATTTCCAGGTTAACGACAACATAGTGGCGGACTGCATCTGTCTTATCGAAATTTTGCCTCCTCATTTGAATCGTTTTTTATCTCTTTGTTCATCCTATTAGAGGTACCCACTTCGTTCACCTCCATATTCACCTCCATATCCCTTTTGGTTGTCGACATTCTCGTAGTTTCCTTTTTCAGTTTGTTCAGATATTATTTTGCGCTTGTCCCAGGTTCCTTTTCTCGCATCGAATTCGAGCAGCCTAACCGCACATAGGTCCGTCAGTTTGTTTGGTCTCATTTGTTCTTCTTACCATATTCTCTTCTATTTTCTCTTATCTGACAGAGGATTCCTTGGTTTGTTGCTGCTTGCTTCCCCTTTCTGCAACTCAATTATTCCTTCTGAATACTCTACGCATTCATGTGCATCGGGTATGCCTTAGTTAGAGACCATGTGGTTGTACTTCCCGACACTGTGCTCTTCGATCTCCTTGCATGTTAAGTCCTTGCTGTTGTTCATTTATTTTATCAAATGTTATCCTCCGTTGTCAAAGTTGTTATTAGTTTATCTTTCTGTCAGTTGAATTCCTGTTATCTTCACTGACCGATTGGACAAAACTAACTGACGTTAAGCACAGCATTTCTTTAACACCTGGCCTAGATTCCTCAGCATCTAACACAGCAGTCATGTTATTGTGCTGGCATGTAAGCTGACTGAAGTGTATTCCGTACATAATGCGGAAACATGCACAGCATTAACTTGAGTTCATTTGTTTCGCAGCCTGGAGAGGAGAATCACAATTGCTATCCTGACGAGCATTATGTTCAAACATATCTACACGTAAGTTTTATGATGTCCTCTTGCTTACTTTGCACTCTTGCAGTCTGGAATGTAGCCGGGTCGTTATTTGTGGCTGATGTGATTCTTTCAGCTACTTGTTTTAGCTACCGTTTCCAGTCTGCCAGTATATGTGAACGTTGGGCTGGTCATGGAGCAAAGCTCGCAGCCGTCACTGCGCTTGAAGCTCCATGAAAGAAGGATATTGGACCACCGAATATGGTATAGTTGGCGGTTGTAGGTTAGGTTGATTAAACACTTAATGAGAATGTCGGCAATATTTTCACTGTTAAAAGTTGCCACACTGTACCATACTGTTCTCTGTCCATGTCTCGACCCGAGCTTGTATCACTGTACCAACATGACACCCAGGCTATATTTTGCTCATCTGCACGTTCCCACTGCCCGAAAGGTTTCTTTGATCAATAACTGCAAGTGTAGCCAAGTGCTTGGGAAGGTGCAAGGTTAGGGCACTATCGGTTCCTTGTACAGGGCTCTCGTTCCATGAAAGAATGGACCATTTCAATCTTAACAAAAGTTCTTCGAAGCATCTTCTAGTTGACGTTTTGTTTTGTAAGGCATTTGATGGACCCAATTTGTTTTAATCCATAATCATGCGGATGGTGTTATCATTTCGAGGATTTCTTAAACTTAACCTCTATGGGTGCCCTCAGTATCTACCTGAGGCAGAATATACTAGTGCCGCATTGGACGTCGAGTTTTATAAAGAGACTTCGTTTATGTTTACACAGATGGTGGATCCAGGTGGGTTGTCAAATTGGACCTTGACACATGTGGATTGGTCTGAGGGCGGATGGCATCCGAAGTCATACGGCAAGGAGGATATTACTGTTGAGACGCTGCGACATCTCCAGGCAAGCTTGTATTTCGGTTGCATTTTCCTCTTTCTCCCTCGCTTGTGTTTGTTTAGCTTGCTTCCTCTGGCCCTTTGCAATCGTGAGTAACAACTTATTCAGAATATTACTCACCTATTGATCGATATGATTTATATGAACTTATGATCTAGGTATATCTCGCGGGAACTAAAAGCGGCGTAAGTAGGTACTGACATTCTTGCGGTCTTTATGCAGAGTATTGACGAGCATGTCCATGTAACAAGTGATGCAGCCGTGAGTTGTTTGACTCTGTCTTACATCTGAGTTTTCTCTTCTCCTTATCTTGGTCGAAAATGTAAACATTCGCTTGTTTGAAAAAATAGAAATAACACCTTATGTTAACAAAATCCTTGGATGAGTTTGTTCATCAAATAGGTTGATAATAAACCTTGGAAGTTAGATATAACATTGTCAGATAATGATATGACTAACACGGTTCACTGTTGTTCGCTTTTATGATTCAGGCCACAATGACAACCGTGCCGTGCTTGTGGGACGGAGAGCATAAGCCATGTTTCCTGTTTGCACGCAAATTTTTGGCCGAGACTGCTGAGGCCCTTGCTGATGTACTTCCCCAAGTTACAAAAACTGCTTCCAGCGAGTGAGGACAGCCACAAATGTCCAAATCTTTTTGTCACGAAGAACATTGAATTTAGCTCTTACTATACACCTGCGAGTGCTCATAGTAGTCTCTTGTCGGTTTAATCCATTATTTATCAGGTTGAACCCCTCTCAAAAGCAAAATTGTCGCGCTCTAGGGGTGTTAACGATGTTCCAAATTAGGGCTTTGTTAGATAGAAAGTTGAGAAATATGGTAGTCCATTGATAGGCCGCTGACAGCACAGTGGCAATGGCATGGGATATGCGGTCCGGCTAGTGGATATGGTGCAAGTGTTTAGTGGATATGCTAGGACTGATCTCCAAGGTTTGGTGTTAGCCAGTCAGACGAGGAATGTAGAATTCTGTACATGTGCACATCATGGCGCTGAAGAAGCGGGTTCAAGAGGGGATTAATCCAAAGACATCTTGCAACCCTTTCGTTGCCAATATATGTTTAAGCGAATCCATTACTTGACCACAGATTCAATAGTCAGAGCCAGAAGGAAATGGGATTGGCTCAGAGCTTTTACTCTCAACTTTGTCGATACTGAATGGGTGAGACTCGTCCTATGTGGAGTCATAATGTGATGATATATGATGGTACATAATGTGCCTATGCTTAATTTGACTCTCATGTGTATGGCAGTGGTATCCAAGTGAGGAAACTAGAGGTAACTCATCGACCGCAGCCAGTGAGACTTGGAACTCGGCTTACTCGAATCAGTTTTACAGAGTAAGTGACAAATGTAAATGTGGCAAGACACAATCGTGCCCCTGATTACAGAAATTCGCAAGACCTTGCCTTTGCTTGCTATAATAGGCTTCCGCTGTAAGTCAATCTGCCGTTTACATTTAGAAGGTCGTCAAGTGTCTCCACTCCAAAAACTGTTCGTATCTTGCATGCCGTATGATGGTTGCCTACTGATGGCCATGTTCAACCTTGTATAGAGCTAATACAAGCATGATCATAACTGCACCCTTAAGTTTGTTTATGATTGTTGAGCCTGCTTGGTGTTGCGGATCCTCACATCACGTTGTTACGAGTGACTTGGTAGTTCGAACTGACAATGAAGAGTACACGGAACTTGATGCAACATGACCAGGTATTTATTCCCAGTGTCTCGTAGACAGTTTCTTCAACAGCTGTGTTTTGCTCCCTCTATTTTATGCGACGATGGAATATTATCGATTGCACTGTTCTCGTTGTAAAGCTGGCGAATGTGGAAGCGCATCATGGCAAATGACTTGTGAGTTCGGAACGCTCAGTGAGCTTTTCTCGCATACCCATCTCATCGGATATTTGGAAGGAGTTTGAGTATCTTGGATTGACTTATTTCTATATGCCATGTTTGTATGTGGATTGACCAGGGCATAAAACTAGAATTTGCTTCCGTGAAGCTACTGTTCCGAACCATTTCGAATCAACAACAAGGCGATTTGCAATCGTTTTGTAACTACGCGATGGTGGTTGCTGTATAAGTCGGAGTGTTGGAAGGCTGACGAGGTCAGAGGGAGTCAATCTTGATCAACAGTGCATACGGTGCATTTCTCAATTGAGGCTTTTCTTTGATGAGAGGGTTGTTACTTGGAGTCATTCCAAGGGGAATACAAGTAACTCGCGACTATTTTCTTTCTTTAGTCTCTGAGAGCTCTTGCAGTTTGATCACAGTTGAGTCTTATATCTACCTTCATAGTTCTGACTTACGACGATGTAATAGCAAGGCTGCTGTCGATACTCTCGATACTGACGATGGTGGTCACCATTCAATCATTCGGGTTTGGAAAACAAACCTCATATATTCTGTAGTATAGCCCAATACATCCTTCTTGTTTCTTACCGCCGCACTTCATATAATGCGGCGTTGGTATGTCTTGCAAGTAATGGGACATGTATCGGAACCGTCTTGGTTTACAGATGGCACCAATCAGTGGGTCAAGTCTATTGTGTTCTTACGACAGTAGGAGCGGTTCGTTTTATTAGTCAATCGACGACACATCAGCTGATTCAGTTGTTGTCTTCTAATTTTTCCTGAAAATATCAAAGTATTGGTGATGAAGTAAGGGTACGTAGTCAAGATTGCTAATGACATTGTTTCTTAGTGAGCCTTTCATAAACTAGTCACTCTGAGGCTGTTTAGTTTCAAGGATGCAATTCATAGTTTGAGCAGAGACTTTCAGGTTCGTTTATAGTTCATAATTGTCTTGCCGGCTGTTCTAACATCGTTCTGGTTCAAGCATGTAAAGTAAATGTTGGAATTGTAGTATTGAGAGCAATCTCAAAATATTGTAAAGAGCAAATTATTGTGTTTGTAAGAAAATATAAATAGTTTCTTGTAACAACTCCTGTTGGATCGAGTACACTGAGAGTAGGTTAGAGATTGGACAACATGAGTTGCATTGGGTTGGTTGTTGCCTCGGACTAGACCTATCTCATTTCCATGTCATTTCCATCTTCTCTTAGAGGGTGGAAAGCACATTTAGGAGAAAATTTAGGTGGTTTCTGAAAATCAGATATAAGTAGATTTTAGTTCACAAGAGAAACTATTTATATTTTTTTACAAGCACAATAACTTGTTCTTTATAATCTTTGGGATTGATGTAGAGTGCATACAATCTGGGTTATCAATATTACAACTCAAACATTTAGTCAACATGCTTCAATCAGAACTGTGTTAGACCAGTCTGGCAAGACAAGTTTCATATTCTCTTTTATGTTTTCAATTATTATGAACTGTAAACGACCTGAAATTTTCATGTCTCAATCATGACAGTACAATCAAACCAAGACAAAGCTAGGAGGTGTTTGCTTAGTCTAGCTCTAGCCCAAAACGAGTTTGATCTAGTCTGGTTGTTACACGGCGTGCTCTGTAGTAGGTACATCGATGGAATAAGAAATGCAGAGCCATTTTCTCAGGGCTACTGGCGGAAGCTGTGTGTGTATCCATTGAGCCGCGTTGAGTCAACGCACGTAGACTTGTCCAGGTCGTTGTAAGCCCAAAAGAAGACAGGTGTTCGTGCTTATGAATCAACCTCATATCTTCCTGCATGATATGACCGGTCTGCATGCATTGAAGGGCAATCTCCTGGGCGAAATATCCTCCACTTCCTCGGCCTGGCTAACGAGGCTGCTGATGCACTAAGACTTGCGCTCAACTCCATCCAAAAGTCCATAATCTTTGCGACTTTGTTACTGGATATGGGGGCCGGGAATCAGCATTCTGCGATCCCGGGTTTATGCTTCGTGAAGACCATGGACTTACGACAGGACAAGTGGAAGCACCGCAGGTTGCCAATTTTCCACACTTTGGAGGAATATTCACCATACTATATATCCTGTGCCTTGTGCTATTTTGTGGATGCAGGTGGATGGCAAGTGTGGAAGGAAAAAGTGCACCGACGCCGCGTCTGCTTCTCGGCATAACTTGGGAAGAATCGATGAGATGAGTATCTTCACATGCTGATACCGATAATGTCCTCACTCTACTGCATCAAGAAACCACCTTTACAAACACAATGGGTAGTAGAGCTTGTCAGCCTTACAAGAATGTACATGTGACTGTCAGCCTTGTAGGAAGCAGGAAGGAATCAAGAGCATCCAGATTTATCGGTATCGGTCTAGTTGCACCTGGGCCTACGCTGAATTATGTCCTGAAATTTGATTCCACCCAACGTCAGGCTGGTGAAAGTGAATATTCTTAAACCCGAAATTTCACCTTTGGTGAGTAAGGAAGGTGACAGGTTTCCCAGATCATCGTAATCAGCGATATTATTCCATTTCTACAATAATTGATAAGGAAACAAGGTTGCTGTTACAAAGACACTTCGATCAACAACAGAATGTACTACAGCATGAGAGCATTTTCCATCATATGAAACAAAAAATATATATCTTTCGGTAAAGTGTCATATCATTCAAATAAGCAAGTGTCTGTTCGTTAAACTTGGAATCGTTAAAGCCACTAACGAATCGGCAATGCAGAGCATAGGGTTTCTATGTAAGTCATAGAGGAGGTTGTTTTGTTACAGAAGTTTCACAACTTTGCATTTGCTCTCCTTGTGCAACTACAAGGCAGACTCTTCTGCCTCTTGTGAGGAAGAGAAAGTACTCGGGTCCTTTCTCTGTCTCATTCTTAGATGGAATTCCGCGAATATCTTTTATGTAATGCATAACGATGTCATGCACACGCGATGAGAAGTGTCCATCCTTACTATCATTCGTAAAATAGGTCGTGTTATCATTCTATGACATTATTTGGATCTTCTACGACAATGCATGTCGATTCAATGCACTCATGCCGTTCTCCTGTTTAGACACGTGGACTACTACAGGATATGCAAACCCGTAAGTTCATACCGTTCCCATTTGGAAATGGTTGCCAAGTTAATCTCAGTTATCTTTAGGTTCAAGTACTGCATTGAATGAAATACATGCACCTACAATTGTACTTTTACCTGTACTTACTGATCATGCCGTGTCATCGCTGTTGAGATTCCGGGTTTTATTGATTTATGAGCTTTTGAATCGAGTGGATCATACTTCCGAGTTCAAGTGAATTTCTCACTTTGTAAGTTTTTGGTCTTAATTATTTTTCTATTCTTTTGCTTCACGCCTCTCCTCTAGTAAAATCTTCTCTGTAGAGCTATGATTTGGGAAATTTGAATTACGAGCGGAAACCATGCTGGAGTTCGATGGACTCTTTTATAGAACAATGAATAGACTCCCCAACGAAAGCAAGTCATAACTCTAGTTAACGGAGAAAAGTGAACTTCCTCATTATTTCTCGAATTTTTGTGACACAAACTTTTGAAATTGCCTCAGGCTTCTTCTCTTGTTGGCCAAAGGGCCGCTCTATCATGTGATGTACTGAATGCTGAAATTCTCGACACCTATAATTTTACAGAAGCAACTGAACTGCATATCTGGAAAACAGCTGACCACAGTTGGGTAACTTTCAGATTTTGAGGGTGTCCACTACGTTCCCGGTTACCCGGGAATGAAATGGACAAGGCGGTGGGACAGAATGTCCAATGTCGAGTGGGAGAGTTTGGCCCGGTGAACATTCGAGGCAGCATCATGGATGGACACCCGGATAAACAGCTCGAGGACAGCTGATATCAGACTGTGAACTGTCGTCCATGGCGATTGGGGCATGCGTCACGAATAAGTTAACGGGGCTGTTTCGTCGTCACTAGCCTCTGGGCATCCCAAAAGGTCTTGTGGCTATTCGCTGAGCCAGAGGCGTGGGAGTGGAAGGCAAGCCCCAAGAACCACCGCGAGACATGGAGGCCCCAGATCACCGACAAATATTTTCAGGCTTGCAACTCACAGTCCACTGTCGCCGGAGATAGAGGAGACGTCAGGCGCCACGCGTCGCCGAGTGAGCCGTGCCGACACTCCACCCGTGGACGGACGGCTTCGCGTCGCGGCGTCTCGGATGTCGAGCGGCTGACCACTGACGTGGCGCGCGCTGCAAAGTCATGCTTGGAAATTCCGCCTGCCCGTTGGTTTCTCCTCTTTACACTTTACCCCACCCTCGGACCGAGTAAATTGTTGGTCTTGTCCACCTCAGTCACCCCCGGTACCTGTCTTTGTACCGCGGTAACTGTATTTCCACATCGACTCTCTCCGATCTGAACTGGGTCGCGCATCCCATAAACTATGTTTGCACCACGAGTCAATTAGGTGTTTACTTCATGCGGGGGTTAAGGGTTGAGCTAGTGGCGGTCACGGGTGGGGGTTAAGTAGGGACGGGTGCGGCGGGTTAAGGAAGGACGGATGTGATTAGGGAGGAGGAAGGCGCGTGGGAGAGGTAAGGAAGTAGAGCAGCCCACAAGAGCTCTACTCGTGTCGGCTGCTGAGGTAACCCGTGGTCTCCATGCCTTGACCACGGTGGTTTCTAATCCTTATTTTCTGCCTTAATCCTGAGACAATCAAAATTTAATGAGTCTAACCGCGTAAGCATCTTCGCTGAGGATCAGAGGCGGAGTTTGATCCCCACTACCGAAACCCGCCATATGAACAAGTCCCTCTTTCCATCCGGCGTAGGGACCGCACTAGTTTAGTGTCCACATCAATTTGGTGGGAGGACTAGATTCGGGGCTCGGGAGGTAGACCTACCCTATGAATGTTCTAATTCAACATGAATCAATTGGAACCTATAAGTGTTCTCGTTGAGAGCTTCGACGTGGTGGCGTACAACTGAACAGAAAAGGGCGTCCACGCCGCCCGCAGTGATGATGATGCTGATTTCCACCACGTACCATTGCAAGGCGGTTTAGGTTCATCACATTTTCGCCTCCACTTTTAGTGTTAAATAAAGGGATTAGAACCTTTGCGTAAAGGCTCGTCGAGGTCTACAGAGATAGACTAACTCAGCGGCCTCATCAAATTGGCGTGGATCGCCGTCTTCGGATTGGACATGTGACGTGGTCTCGGTGTGGCGGGCAGTGCATATGCGTAACGACCTATACCGTGACCGTGGTCGCGGTCGTGGTCGGAGAGATGGAGTAATCGGTGATGATGCGAGCCACCACACCGCCACGCGCATTTCATTCAAGGCCTTCCTTCGAATGACGTTCGGGGGCTACCGGCATCACGAACGACGGACATAATTGTGCTCTTTTCAACCCCCCTCGCTTTCAGTCGAGCATATTCTGCCCCCTCCTCTCCTCTCCCCTCGAATCATTCCTTCGCATCCTCCTTGGGTTATTGATTGTTGATTATGGTGGTCGACGAATATGCCGCCCCATCTATCCACAAAATGGCTCCTCATAAATTAGTCATGGCCGGCCCCCCTCGTCCGATGATGCCTTGACCTCTAGAGGCTGTGAAGCCGCGAACATCCTCCTGCCATTCCTACTTCGAACTTGGCTCTCGGGGAAATACCATTAGTGCGTAAGGTATGGGGCTCCGGAGCAGGCCCCTGCTCCCTCTGCTATGTTTAGCGGGGGTAGTGGTGCCACCACCAAAGAGGGAGGGGCAGTCGCGGTGGCTCACAGCCCCGGAGCTGATAATAATGAGAGGGGCACGGGGAGTGACTCATAAACACTAATAAGTGACGGAGGAGGGGGCTAAGGGGTCTAAGGGGGGGAGTATTACAGCACCCCCCAAACTAACTCAGCCCCCTCGCTAGACATGATGTGGCAGTAGGAAGAGGGCGGCGTGTTAAAGGGCCATCGGTCTAATTAGGCCCCGCGGGCTCTAGTAGGCGGCCCTGTAACTTCTCCGCGCCGGCCTAATGGATGCTAATGAGAGGGGCTAATGCGATCGGATTAGTTTAGTACCGTGAACAAATCTGTGCAGGATCGAATAAAGTTTATTAGCGCATTAGCACCATTAGCACCATTAGCCCCCGTCCATAGATCCGATCTGACTTGCACGACCAACAAACCGGCTCCTGCAGCTGCTGCTGCTGCTCGGTTGCTCCACATTCTGCCGTCACATTCTCTACAACTTCCCCCCGCCATTTTATTCCGGATATTAATGGCACAGAACTCTTGGCAACACCCCCTCCACCCCCACCTCTTGGCCGCAACAACCTTCGACGGATCATTAAGGTTATCCAATCACTCCTGCGAGACTCCGTTTCTCGCTTCTAATCTTCCAATCTGGATCTTCGAGGGGGCCTGCCTTCCTTCCGGAGTTGTGTGCTCGGGTTGGCCTCCCTCACCTTCGTATCTCGAAGGTCGAGCCATGTTCATGAGAGGAGGGGGGTGGGGGGTGGTACAGTGGTGGTACTTGCAGGGGGGGATGGGGTTAAGGAGGTGGGAAGGGGTGGGCGGGGGTCGCTTTTTATCATGTTATGCTCTCGACATGTCGTATTCCTGCGTCTCACAGGAGCAGAAAGTCCAAGCAGCAGCGGACTGCGACAAAGAGAACTGAGACAACCTTGATATTTGTCAGGCTCCTCACCCACAAATTGTGCATGCACTTTTGAAGGCCCGAGATGGAAGATTCGTCGAGCAGCCCCGGCGAGAGGCCGAGAGAACAATTGGCCACCCTTCCGAGGCCCCCAAAAGGCCAAAGAAACGCGCCCCACACGAACTCATCCATCGCCTCCTCCCCACCGCTTGGACCATCTGCACCATCTGGTCACTCACATAACGCAAACTCGCCAGAATATCTCACTGTAGGTTTGCCCTGCCCTGCCTTGCCTGCCTAGAACATCCCCCACCATCATCATCATACGACTTGCTCCAGAACGTGCAACCAACGCCCAGGCCTCCAGTTCCACTCGTTTTCACCGAATCGCTGATGCCCTGAAGTGCCCCATGGACCCAATCACGGCCCCAGGCTCCCCGTCAAACGGGAACCATGAACGAGATCTATCCCACTACAGTGCACAAAGCAAAATCACCTGAACCGTGAATAATTTGCCCCCCCCCCCCAATTGCTCTGATCATACACTGCAGTGACCCAAACTGCGTGAAATAATTTGTCCCCAGTAATTGCCCTCATGACACCCTGCAGTGTCCCCGAACTGCGGGCTCCGGGGCCTACTGTGTAGTGTAGTCTTGTTGTTGTTGTCGTCGTTATTGTCTGTTGCTTGTTGCAGTCCCTGTGCGACTGAAACTGCGAGACCCGAAGCCGCTCGTCAAAACAGTGCTCGAAATCTGTTTCCTGGTCACGGACTGATTCTATGGATGAGATCCTGCACTGGCATCGGATTTAGAAGGTTCTCGTCTCCGATTGTCATCTTCCTCCTTGGCTCAGGATCCAGTTCTCGTTTTAGCACCGACTACTTCCAACTCACGCAACAACGCCCAGACTGTTGGATGCAAAGTCACAATCCAAGTGCATGAAAACCATGCGAATGTGGACAGAGATATTTACAGCTGGTTGCCTTTACAATTAACCACTCCGTAGATTTCCCCAAACAACTCAATGAGAATGCTAATCATCGGATTGCAGGATTACAGTGAGCCCGTGGTTTACCTCGAGGAACTGTAGTGTAGAGCGTAATGAGAGCCCAGGAGAAATACAGAAATACAGACAGTGGTGTACATTGAGCTCCCGAGTAAAATTACTCAGAGGCGAGAAATTATGCGCAGAGAATCTGAACACGGGAAAAATCTAGATTTTTCAATCGTTCAGACACATGATTGCGCAGGAACTCGGCACTCGGCCGTGGAGGGCCGCAACCGGATGGGGGCCAGGGAGGGAGCGATTCGGAAAAGTGACGGATTCTCGAGTGCGACGGACGTTCGAATCCAGATGGACCAAATTTGGAATCCTTTCCAGCGATTTGGGACGGATATTCGCTTACCTCACTCACTCGCGGCGGCATTGTCCAGCTCCCAGACGCAGGCGGGGCGTCGCGTCCCGTCTCCCGGCCCCGAAAGAAAAACGCGAGGACTCGAAACTGTGATTAATCATTTCCCGTCTCGCACGTGTCCGTTTATCTCCTGCAACTCCAACCCTCTTCTCTCTCGATTTCTCCATTCCAGAAAGATGGGAAAGAACCTTCATCCGCATCGATCGATCGCCCATTCTGCAACATCATTCCTTCCTCCGCGCCTTCCTCCTCCTTAATCACATCCGTAATTCCTTACCCCCACTAGCGCAACCCCTAACCCCAGATTAAATACCCTAACCTCTCCCCCCGTGGCGCGGCCCCGAGCGGTGCGGGGAGAGAAATGCGCGCGGCCGCGCTTTCTCTCCTCCCGAACCACACCACATCCGTCATTCGTTCACCCCCACCCTTTGACAGCCCCTACCGCAACCCCTAACCCCCGCACGAAGCACCCTAACCTCTCCGTCCATATTATGATTCCGATCTTTTAATTAATGTTACTGCCATAATCTGCCTTTCATGAACAGTCGGCGATGTACAAATCTAGCGAGTCTTTGCAAAATTCCACCTCACTTAGATTCAGCAAATCATGATTTCTCAAGCGTAAAATTCCTTCCATAAGAGCATGTTCCTTCATTCATTCGTTCATTCACGTTAGGCTCAACGAAAGGTCAGATCAGGTAAAATCAGATCCGGGTCAGGCCAACCCATTTCTCTTTCTCTCTCTACCACACACATCCAGGAAAGGTGTTTGGGACCAGCTCCCTACTCCTCAAAGTTAACGTCTGTACAGAAGCCTGGGCTCGTTTCGGCCTCGTGGGATTCATCATTCGTTCTCCTCTCCGTATGATTTCTTCTTCATGTACGCCTACCTTGAGCTACGTAACAAAATCTGTAAGAAAAAAAAACAATAATCGACACCGAGATCTCAATGACTTATGTTTGGCATTAGGGACATGGACAGTGAGTAAATTAAAAATATATATATAAATATTCACTCCGAGGCCAAAATATCCCAGACGTATCGAAAAGATGTGAGAGCCTGATCTGTCTTTTTTAAATGATGTACTCAACACCACTTCGCCTCAAAACTAATCATAAAAATTTAGGTAAAAGGAGTCGATGCAATTATTTTTCCATTCTCATAAGGGACTCTCGTGTTTGTCGTTCACATGTCATGAAGTCTATGTATATAAAGTCGAGGTGCATGATAAGGATTGCTGCGCTCTCTGATTGCGTTGCAGATCAGCATCCCCGATGGAGTAGGTTACTCTCCCACTCCCATGCGTCAAAATTTAGAGCTAATTTCGAGGAGCCGACTTTCGTGCGAGATCCAGATCACAACTAGTCCTCTTTTCCTGTGTTCGTAGCTAAGTACACTCGCTTCCAGTAAGCCTGATCAATGTAATTAGCAACAAATTTAGTTGCACCCATTACTTGCAGGTCAGAGTACTGCCTTCCCTTGAGGAACAAAAAATAATTAGATAATAATTAGCTCTCGGTCATCGACTCAGCGCTTCGATTCTCCTTCAGCTCTGCTGTCACTACGGACTTTCTGGAGAGTTGTGACCTGGCTGACTCTCGAGCTGACAAGTTTCACATTCTTTTGCAAGGGCTCATCCTTTGTACCAACTTTCATGGAAGAAGAAAGAAAATTCTTCTAGTTGTCCGTAGTGATTGCAGGTAAAGTTAGTGTGTGTGCAGTCCCTCTCCCCTGGTGCAGGTAACAAGATTAGTTTGTGCGTTGTCACTTCATCTCCACTCTCCCGTGCAAAGATAGTGGAGATGGCGTTCTCTCCAGACCGATCGTTGAGTCTGAGTTCCAACCTTCTAGCTGTAATTTGGGACTTGACATCCTGGCGTCGTTTCCAAGTTCTGGGAGCGTGGAACATTCCAACTTCTTTGCTACGTGAACTGACTTCTGAGTTTTCAACGACCCCATTCGATCCAGAAAATCTGATGTTCCAAGTTCCTTGCCGTTCGGACTTGGATCGCTAACGATAGGAAATATTCTTAAGCATCGTAATACTTTTACTATTTTACAACTTCTTTTAGAAGTTAACTAGATTTTACACACTGACGATGATGATTTTGCTTGTTGAAATAAAAAATTTCAAACTATATGCAAACCTGTGAAGAATGTAAGCAATAGCCATGTTAGCAGTCTCACATTTTTTTAGATTGACTTTTTAATCGAGGATATATATGAATCTTGACCAGTTATCATCATCTGATTTTACAGCTGACAAATAGGGAGACATATACGAAATAGTAAACAATCTTGATATAAGCAATTTTAAGTGTTAAGGAAGATTTTGAAGCCGAACTTTCAGCTGAAATTTAGAGACGATAACGCTTCATCGTATTCCCTTCAAGAAATGAGAATTAGCAATGTGTCGGTTAAGGGATGGAGCTGATCGTCTTTATTTAGCGCAACGAGTCCTAATCTCGACCAAGTGCACGAAGTAAACAAGATTTGGGGTGCTCACTACGAGGGGGGACTGTGTTCCTGAGGATCGATCGTCACGTGCCTTCCCTTTGCCATTGTCTAAGATTGAACGTGGTTGTACATAAGAAGAATAGGATTCTTAATTTGCCACTGCAAATATAGGATTCCAGTCGCAATTCAAACAGTAAATCCTCCACATTAGTGCTGTTCGATTTGTCACGTTCTTAAGACTATTTTTACTTATTTTGGTTCGCATAAATCACTTCCTTCAGAGTTGGGGCCATGATAAATCATGCTTCAAAGTATAAAATGCGATTTCATCACGTGTCCATCACGCAACGGATTACAGCTTCCTTTATTGGCTATTTCAGACCTGCTATTTATGTAAACTCTGCAGAAGAGACCAGAGGCCCAGAGTGTCTAATATCCCTCCATGATCAACTCGCAAACCTCTAACCACTTCCGGTTCCTGCAGTGTCGTGTTTTTTTTCCTATAAATAAGTTATTTCCTTTCCAGTCAACTTTTTATTCACAACCTGCATTTTTTACGTTGTTACTATCGAGATTCCATGTTTGACAGTAAAACTTACAAATTATTACTAATTACATCTATACTTGCATCCCTCCCTAGAGGAAGTCTTACTATAGACGAAACTATTGTTATGACGTTTAAACGCAGCCAGAGAAAAAAAGTATTTAATAATAAAATAAAGCCATATTTTCATTATCTCCTTTTCAATTTCGAGTACTGTAGCATTTTTCTGTTTTATTATAAAACATGGTGACTTCCAGTTCTTTTATTAGTTTTTCTTTGCCTTGTTAGTATAAAATGTTGCAAATGAAATATTATTAATTAAGTATCACATACAACTTATATCGAACTATAATGATGTCGGTTGTTGACTCTCTTTCAATTTTCCAGAATAATTGAGCTGAAGTGTCCTCTCCTCACTTTTGTGCCTGTGCCTGAGCATCAATACATGGTCTTTATACAACTGTTGAAAAGTTTGAAAAACCTCCGCCGGTGAGACAAAGGGTCAAAAATCATGCAGACTTGAAATATCATGCACGCTTTAAAGCTGTCTTCACGGTCTCCTACAAATGCTTCTCAAGATGTCAAACAGATGCGGATCCAATTTCTCGTCAGTTTAGAACTCCAGATATCACCGTAAACTGGTATACAAATGGCATTTTATGGAAAGACTTCTAAAAAGTTCTTAGAAAATAATCTGCTCACGAAATATAAAATGAAGACAAGGACATGATGAGATAGTTCACATTAATGAGCGTGGAGACAAGAGACAGTCATACTTTCCGATTGTTTATTAAGAGTAGGCATGGTATTGATCATAATCCCCCCTGAAAAGGAAGGAGGAAATGATATACAAGAAAACCGAGGGGCTGCGGGCGGCTCCACGCACGAGCACGCAGACAAACCCGAAAGAAAAAGCAGAGAATTGGGTAAAAAAGATGGCCACAAAAACAATGCATAAACGAATGGTGGGCAGAGGCAGCGGGCATGCATGGAAATGAATCCCAGGCGAAGGAAGCAAACGAATGCTCGCCATGAAATCCCAACGCCCGGGTCTGGGAGTGGGAGTGGGAGTGGACATTTGCATTTCGTTCAGTCCATGGGGAGGGGAGGGAAACGTCAGCTATATACAGAAGCAAGTCAATCAATGACTGGATCGCGCGCAATGGTCTCCCAGCTCCTGGCTGCCCTCTTCCAGACGTCACTTGCATCTTGGAAGCGCATCACGACGCACTCGGCCATGCTGAGCACTGCCTTTACAAGTGTCGGATGTTGTGGCGAGGGAGCGAGTCGAGTCGAACTGCACGACTCCGCCTCACTCACTGTTTCATGCTGTTGACTGAGTGAGCACACCTTCCGTCACGAAATTAGACTCCACTATTTTAAGGAGTTTTATCTCGATGGTTTGCCCACGGCTTTCTCCGAGCCGATGTTGTTAATTCATGAGAATGTCTGTCCAGATCCAGATGCGAGTTACACAAAGCTTCTCATAGATTTGCAAGCCCTCACTGTGGTAATCCCTCGACAGTGTCAGCATGGTGACTTTATGGGCTTATTGATCGGGGGTAGATGTATGAAGGGAGTGAGTGCTCTTCATCTTTTCACGTATCTGGCGTAGTGAGTGAGGGAGGGAGTGACCGAGTGGGTCGAAGTGGCTGCTGTCCACGAGCCGGTGTCCCTTCATTCATTAATCATCATAATTCCCAACATTAAAGTGAAGGTGACGGGTTATTTTAGTAAGCGTATATGGTGTCTCGATGGCGTTAGTTCAGGCCTCCTAAATTCTGGGATTTGTTAACAAAATACCGAAATGAACCAAAATTAAATCTTGCTGCATCCAAAAATTAAGAATGTCATGAACTTTGCAACAAGTAGGATTAAGCCACGTATAAGATGATCATACGTATTATTCGTCTTTGTACAGATATCATTCTTTCATAAATCTACGAGACTCACACGTGAGAAATTCCACTAGTGTCCAGTAATAACGGTGTGTGTATGTACTCTATTTATTGAGAAATTCCAAAATTACCAAAATTAACACGAGTAAAATCCACAATTTAAGTTAATTTCGATAGTTATGGGAATTCCCAAGCCTTATGAGGCCTGGCCTAGTTAGTCCCCATGTTAGTTCTCGAGAGGTTGAGGGTGGGAGGGACGGAGGGAGGGATGGGGTGAGCGCAGCGTCAGGGGCTACGTCACAGAGAATTTACTAATGGAGCATTAGTTGGAGAGAGAGAATTGTTCCGACGATTTAAGACGGGCATAAGTTTTGGTGTTTTGACTCACCACTCTGTCGCCGACGCTCATTGACTGGCTTATGGGAAGTCATGTCAACACCAGTTCACATGACCACTTTACAGTGCTGAGGCTGCTGGGCTGGGCTTG